GTGTGTGTGTGTGTGTGTGTGTGTGTGTGTGTGTGTGTGTGTATGCGTGCATGCTGTGGTGTGCATGTGAAACTCGGAAGTCAATCTGTAGAAGTCGGTTTCTCTTTCCACCATGTAGGCTCAAGGAACCAAACCCACACGTCAGGCTTGACAGCAATAACCTTCACTGGCTAAGTCACCTGGACAGCTCCCAATGTTACGTATTTTTTATCTGACCAAGACATTCTAAAGCATGAATAGATCATGCACAGGCAATTAATATTTTGTTAACATTAATCCATACGCACTTACATCTCAGACATCTTATAAGCCCAGTGACTAAAAACGCATCATACATAACAACACTGCAGAACCCATCTGAAGACCAAGTAATCCATGCACATTATCTTGAGTCATTGCAAAATCCAAGGGTCTGGAGCTGGGTATGGTGGTGCACCCTGTCACCCCAGCATCAGGGAGGGAGAGGCAGAAGACTCAGGAGGACAAGCTCATACTCCTCACACTCAGTTAATCTCGACTGACAATTTGGTGGGATTTAGAATCACCATGGAAACAAGTATCTAGTCATATCTGTGACTGTTTATCTGTATTAGGCTAATTGAAGGGGAAAGGCCCACCCTAAATATGGGGAATACATTTCCATGGTTTGTGCCCCATAATGAATACAAAGGAGAAAGCAGGCTCAACACAGACATTCACCAGTATGGCCAGCTGCTTCAAGAGCTTGCTCCCACGACCCCCTACTCCCATGGGCCCAAATAAATTCCTTCTTCCTTAAGATTCCTTTTTTGGGCTGGGCATTGGTGGCGCACGCCTTTAATCCCAGCACTTGGGAGGCAGAGGCAGGCGGATCTCTGTGAGTTCGAGGCCAGCCTGGTCTACAAGAGCTAGTTCCAGGACAGCCTCCAAAGCCACAGAGAAACCCTGTCTCGAAAAACAAACAAAAAAACAGAAACAAGATTCCTTTTTTGGGGTGCTTTATCATAGGAATCAGGAAAACAGTACCAAAAAAGGTTGAGAAGTGTAGTTCTTGGCTCCTTGGAACTGGTTTGTTAGAGAAATATGGAAGAATTTGTAACTTGGGGCTAGAAAAGCCTTTGAAATCAAGCAGAGTTTAATGGGCCATGCCTGTGGAAGCCTGGAGAATAACACTGAGAGAAATGAGGACATCAGAGGCCTGGTTCATGAGGTCGCAGGGGGTGGGGGGGCGCAGGCAGAATCCAATGAGGCTGAAGGATGAGCCATTCATGTCATACTCTGATAAATATTCTGCTCGTGTCCTGCCCGCCCGTGTCTGTAGAGCTGGGATCTGGTGGGATTTAAAGGCTTGCTGTCTCGTTCTGGAACTCTGCTGATGCCGGACACAGTGGTGGGGAGAGGGATTGGGGGGCTGAGAGCTCTCTCAAGGGTGCCCCATACACACCTCTCTCTCCCATTGGATGTACCTCCCAAAAGTTCCACTATCTCTTAAAGTGCCATAGGCTGGTGACCAAGCTTGAATGCATGACATTTGGTGGGGGGACATTTAAGATCCAAGTCATCTGTCACCCTGTGTTCTATGAAGACTATTTACTATCTTGACCACAGCCTTACTAATATCCAGTCTGGAGAATTAGGGCTATCCTGTAATTGACTGGCTACGTTTTCCATCCCTTGACAAACAGCCTTGTCCTTTCTCTTCGCAAGGCCTCATATACATAGCTGCACAATAGCTCAGGTCCATCTGCACCACAGATAGGAGGATTGTAGCCTTTGGCCAGAGTGGCAGTGTATGTTCTGCCCATAGGATCAAATGTCTGAAAGTTTTCCTCATAAAACCCCAGGCTACGCCCCCCCAACCCGCCCGACGCCTCACTTGTACATGCACTGACCAGCAAAAGGTAAATACATAAGAGCATCATAGTGCTGTGGGCTATTAGGCTGGTGTGGACCATGTCTAACAGTAGTGTTAAAGGTGTTATCTCATCTAAAACCGACAACAACCTAAAGGCAAGGATTTTGATTGTCCCAGTTCATAAGCAAAGAAGCCACATCCCAGAGATTTAGAAATTTCCAAAAGGGGGCTGGAGAGATGGCTCAGCAGTTAATATGACTGGCTGCTCTTGTAGAGGACCCGGGTTCAGTTCCCAGCACCCACATGGTGGCTCACCAACATCTGTAACTCCAGTTCCAGGAGATCTAATGCCCTCTTCTGGGCACTATAGGCACTGCATACATCTGATACACGATGTACACATAGGTAAGCACATGCAAAATATAAAATAAATAGATGTTTAAAAAGGAAAGGTAGGTCCAAAAGGTCGCTTTGTCAATGGTGAAGAGGAAATTCCAGCTGGAGTCCAAATTCCAAAGGCCCCGTATTTCAACATGATCCAAAGGGCCGCATCAGCAATTCTAGGAGAACAGCAACTCTCTGTACTTCCAAGATAAATCTTGACTGGGGCTCTCACTGATCAGGTGTGGGTTAGATGTCATCCTGAGCTAATCACTGTGGTCAGTGTGCCAGGGTGTGTTGATTAGCCAGACCTGATCACATGTCCAACTGGGAACCACAAGTAGAGCCATTTTCTCCTGAACGGCAGGCCTCGACAGTAGCGCTGCCAGCAAGCATGTAGACATAGCAAGGGCTTAGGACGCATACTCAAGGCCGGATTCAGGGCTCAGCACACAGCAGGGCAGCTCTTTAACTGGAAAGGTGTGGGATGTGAAGGAGAAGTAATTTCCATAGTAAAGAATGTGTGTAGGGCAGGGGTTCAAAGACTAGGGCACCTGCTTAGCATTCCTGGGTGCCAGGCAGCGATAAGAAGCCATTGTGAGTGCTTTGCATTTCAGTCATACGAAGTGGGAACTACTAAGTCAGGAAAAAGGAGTTTGCTCTGACATATCTACCCCTACCCCTGCCTGTGAGTACTGTGTGTGTGGCAAACACCCCCAGTGCCTAGACAGTTTTCCCACCTAGGAATTCTTTTTTTTTTATCTTAGAGAAATTATGGTAGTGTAAATAATTTGAAGACTGTAGAAATACTGCTTAAAATAGAATGAAACTGAAAGTAACCTGAGCACCCGCCACGACAGTTTTTGTCATACCCATCAGTACATAGTATATTACTAGAGAATGTGTTTTATGACATGATGTTAGTCATGTAATAATCTGTCAGTGCATTCAATATGACTTCTTTATGTGAATGTGTGTGTGTATAGGTATGTACAGATGAATGCAGAAGATGTGTATATGTGGGTATGTGCACGAGAAGAGATCGTGTGTGTGTGTGTGTGTGTGTGTGTGTGTGTGTGTGTATGTGTGTGTGTGTGTGTGTGTGTGTTTCCTCAAGATGGTAGCTCTGGCTGTCCTGGAACTCACTAGGTAGATCAGACTGGCCTCAAACTCACAGAAATCACTTGCTTCTTGGATCAAAGGTGTGCACCACTAACCCATAACTTGATCTCTGAGTTCAAAGCCAGCCTGATCTACAGGAAGTTCCAGGCCAGCCAGGACTACTTAGTGAGACCCTGTCTCAACACTACCCTCGGCCACACATCTAGAATGAGAACTGCGGTTTCTGATCTGTATTTAATATACTCACTGTACAGTAAACTAGTTTGTCCCTAGACGGCTGGTGTGTGTTCCTGTGTGGCTTCCTGTGATGAGCGGAAACACAGATCGTTTTCCTGTCCACTTAACTATCAACTAGCTGTGACTGCCACCTCTCGAACACACGCCTCCATCCCCACACTTAAAGTGGCCTTGTGGCAAATGAGGTTTATTGTCATAGCACTATCCCAACCCCTTTTTTACGGGGGAACAGCCTCGAACTAACAGAAATCTGGCTGCCTGTGCTTAAAGTGCTGGAATTAAAGGTGCCACTGCCCCCAGGCATCAGCCTGGGAATTAAAAAAAAAAATTTCTTTAAAAAAAAAAAAGGTGCCACTGCCCAGCTGGGACAATGAGACTTTTATATGTGCAATGGGGAAGGTGGTCTCTACAGTTACCAGTAAACAGTAGAAATGGAACCAGTTTCCCCACAGGATAGTCAACTTCTCTGCTTAAACTATGGGAAGTGGGTTCCTAATGATTCCAAGTAAGAGCCCTAAATTTGTATGTGTGTATACTTTCTGGATTTTAATAAAGATATAGAAAGCTTAGTTTGGGAGAATTTTTAAAATTGAAAGCCATTCCAAAGTTGATGTGGAGTGGGAAACCTGGGCAAAACCAACACAATGTCTTGATTTCTTTTTTCTTTCCTCCCTTCCCCTTTCTTTCTTTCTTTTTTTTTTTTTTTTTTTTGCTGCTTTTGTTTTTTGAGACAGGATTTCTCTGTGTGGCCCTGGATGTTCTGCTGTCCTGGAACTTGCTCTGTAGACCAGACTGGTCTTGAACTCACAGAGATCTGCCTGCCTCTGCCTCCCAAGTGCTGGGATTAAAGGCGTGCGCCACCACTGCCAGGCTCTATCACTTCTCATTTCAGGGCCAGCAGAAATCAAAGTCCATATTTGTTTTAATGTCTCGTTAGAGCCGGGAATGGTGGTACACGCCTATGACCCCAGCACTTAGAAAGTGAAGGGAGGAGCATCAGTTCAAGGTCACCATCCTTAGCCTACAGTAAGTTTGAAGTCAGCCTCGAGGACACAGCAAGCAGTAGTATGCTAGGCAGCCAGAGAGCAAGACACTGACTCAAAGCAAGACCACGAGGAAGGTGCTCGAAGCAACTCCCTGGCTTAAGGGTCAAACCCTAACCCGAGCTGTTGGGTAGAGTTTGGGTTATTTAGACAGAGTTGCTTTTGAGGACAAATATCAGTGACATCCACTCACCTATTCATTGACTATTTGCTTGCTTGTTTTGATTTTGTTTTGAGACAGGGTCTTACTATGCAGATGAGGTCAGACTCAGACAACCAGCCTGCCTCTCCTCTGCCTCCCCCGTGCTGGGGTTAAAGTGTATGCACCACACTCATGCCCACTCACCCTTTAGATTTAATGCAAACGGCTGAACAGTCACGACTCCGGGCACAGGTTTTATTGTTCAGATCTCCTCAGCACAGCTATGACAAGGACCTCTGTCAAGGAGCCCTGAAGAGCTGATGATGGAGAACAGCAGAGAACAGGCAGGTCTGCACCTGCTTTTACAGCCAACGGAAACGACGTCTTTGGGGTGTGACTGTCCCAGGTCCAGCCTGGCCCAGGCTTCCACAGCACCACCCACATGCAGCTCTGGAGGGACAGAAACCTCACAGGCGTAGACTCTTAGGGGAAACCCCAAATGACAAAACAACAGAAAAGCATGGGGATAGAATCTGTAGAAAATCCGAACTACCATAACCAGTATTCCTATTTGAAGTCGTTAATCTCTTAGTACACCTAAGCTTTTATTTAAAAAGCAAACCTAGCATAATTATCATCTTTAAAAAAACATGTAAACATTGCAAAATTTGGAGGATTATTTATAATCTGAAGAGACTTATAAAAATTATTTGACTTGTTAGGACTATAAATACTAACCCTTCCACCCCCCATGAAAAAGCAATTGTTACAAAAATATAAAAAATATACTAGCTTCTAGTTTACCTTTCATTGAGGAATCTCAGAACACTGGAGCACATCTGGTTTATATGCCTAGCAAGCACACATGCTACCTTTTCAACTTTTTAAAGTTCCAGAAAATTCCATTTTGTTAAGAATGTAGCTGCTTCCTTCACAGTAATGTAATGCTCTTGAGTATCAAAACTGCACCCCCTCCATAGGCCCGGTATGGAATCACGGTGCAGGAGATAGGTTCCCGGCCCATCACATTGTTCTCTCTAGCTCCTTGTGCTCCCCCTGACTCACTGGGTCCCCAGGCTCCTGAGCTGGTCACGGCTTCCCTCGCTTCCGTTGGCAAGGAAACCCTGGCCTGGTGCTCCCTGTAGCACCCGCCTCCTGGGCATGCACCTGGCTCCACCCGGATGCGCTAATTCAGGAAATATACTTGCTTGATGGCTGCTACTCTGGTACATGGAGGATGGCTGACGACACAGGGATGACGTAGACGGATCAGGGAGCGGGGCTGGGAACTCAAATGGAGAGAAATACACTGACTCACACTGTACGCTCCTTCATGGCAGTCAGTGTACCAGGCACTTGACCAACTAAAGTTACTGAGTGAATCAAATGTAGTTTGAAACAATCAAAACACCTGCAGGGGCTTGACAGATTTTTTAAAGGATCATCATCTCCTCTTCGTAATTTAGGGCATTTTCAGCCTTTGCTTATCTCTGCTGCCACCAGCAGAGGGCAGTAAGTGCAAAGGCTCAGACAAGCCCCCGGGAGAAAACTGTCCCTAGGTAACCAGTGGGATGGATTCACCTACAGGCAGAGAATCCTCAGTCACCTAGATATTTCCGGGCTCATCCTGGTGTCCCTGAAGCCTGGGGAGACCTTTTATACCAAGGTATCCCTAGGGAAGACCTTTTATAGCAAGGTCTCAGCAAAAGCGCGAGCAAAGCTCGATGTGCTGAGTCAGCACTGCTGGGCGGCTCAGAAGACCCAGTTCAACTCGCAGCACTTTCCAGCCACTTCCCCTCAGGCCTAGGCCACGCCCCCTGCCAACCCCGGGTTCGGTACACTCTAGCCCGGCGTCTGATGTGACCACTGTGCCACTACTGACTTCAGTATTCTAGTCTGTGACCAGAATGACAAGCTTTCTCTGGGTTCTTGCTGGATTTGTAGATTTACCACGCTGCAAGGGATCTATCTCACTGCTGATTCTGGGTTTCCGGTTCTCACCTCTTTAAGTCACACATTTCCAAACACCCGCTTGTTTCTGTAGATCCCAACGATCTCATCTCAATGCACCCTGGCTGTTCAAAACCTTTAAGGAACTTTCCGAACACAACAACAATAGGTGATTCGGAGAATTCCAGCTACATCTACTGAGCAAAGCTGACTCTACTTTGGTTGCATTTCAAAACAAAAATAAAAAACCGGGGCCTTCGAGACATTGCAAAATCACTGTTTGCTCAGAAGAGAACTCTCAACATCAAGGCACAAAGAGAGAAGTCTCCTGGGAAAAATTATGATGAACTGGGTTGGCCACCTGCGTGAGGTCTGAGGCAGAGTCCGTGAGGCAGAGTCCGTGAGGAAGGCCTGGGCATTGGGACCGAGACCCTCTGGCGCTTGAGGCATCCTCACGCATATCTCTCCAGGAACTTGAGGTGAAAATCTTTCACCTTACGGAGCACTGTCTTCAGTTTCTCCACGGGAGGGAGGATTGTCATCCTGTCAGGAGAGAGAAACATCAGCCTGGCTGCTCACAGGATAAACCCAACAACACTCCTTGCACTGCGGAGCAGACACAAGGTGGGAGGGTGACTCGGTCCCATGTGGACACATGTGGGACACGTGTATCGCTTGTGGGACTACCGTCTCCCCTAGTCCTTCCTGCGGTTCTCACATGTTGCCCGGACAAGCCATGAAGCCCTGAGCCTGAGCAACCCTCTTACCTCAGCCTCCAGAGAGCTGGGAGCAGACACAAACCACCAGAGTGCTTTATACACAGGCATTCCTACACAGCCAGACCAGTACTAGAGCAATAAACTGGATTGACTCACCAAAATGTATGTTTCATTACTGCAGATGGCCGCACCGTGGCTTTGTTTGTTGGGTTTTGTTGTTATTTGTTTATTTGTTTTAAGACAGGTTCTCCCTATTGTTTGTGTATTTGTTTTAAGACAGGTTCTCCCGGCTGTCCAGAGAACATGCCATGTCGACCAGACTGGCTTTGAACTCACAGAGATCTATTTGCCTTTGCCTCTTTTTTTTTTTTTCTTTACTCCTCATCTTTTCTTCCTCTTTTATAAAACATGGTTTCATGTGTCAATTGGATATTCTGGAATTCACCCTGTTGTTCAGGCTGGCCTGAGGTTGCAGTAATCCTCCTGCCTCAGTGTCTTAAAGTGCTTGCATTATAGGCACGCACCACCACATCTGGCACCACATTCTGGCTAGTATAGAGAACTTTCTAGAAATAACCTTTTCCCCATTTTGTGGAGCTAGGGATTGGATTCAGGGTTTCACAGATGCTAGGTGAACGGCTGACTACATTCTAGCCCTAGAGCATGACTCTGATTCTTTTTTTTTTTTTACTCTTTGGCTGCTCGCGCGCGCGCGCGCGCGTGTGTGTGTGTGTGTGTGTGTGTGTGTGTGTGTGTGTGTGTGTGTGTGTGTGTGTGTGTGTGTGTGTCCGTCCCAAGATTCAGCTTCTGACCGGAAACCAACCTCAAATCACAGCTCTTACTTTATAGACATTTCCATTTGCCACAATAACCTAACCTCTCCCTCCCAACTCAACAGCACTTTGGGTGGCAGGGAGCCCAGGACTCATACTTGTCTCATGATCTACCACTGAGCTCCACTGCAAACCTGGCTCCACATTTTGGATGGTGGATTATAAACTTGGAGCAGAGAACCTAACCAAAGGTAAAAGGGCCAGGTAGGCAGTGTAGTGTGTCCCTCTTAGGACACAACCTGTATCTTTGACTAAGCAAAGGCTTGGATCCAGAAGCATAACATCTCTTCATCTGCTACGAGAGACATTGCCACAGGAGCTATGAAGAAATGACCACGTTCTGAAGAGAATTGGCCTTGGTGAGGAACACTTTCGGAACAGCTCTGGGAATCCGTGTTCACATCTATACAGAGTTAGCTCCGTGCCGGTGTAGTGTCATGGTCCACACTGCAGCCGAGAGGCTACAGGGCACCTATCCTGCGCCAAGCTGTCCTGGTTGGTTTTTCTGTCAATTTCATACACGCTAACGTTATTTGGGAAGAGCTTCCCTTGAGAAAATAACCCTATTCCATTGGCCTGCAGGCAAGCCTGTGGGGACCTTTCTTGACCGATGATTGATGCGGAAGGGCCCAGCTGGTCATGGGTGGCGCCATCCCTGGGCAGAGGTCCTAGATTATTACATAAGGAAGCAGGCTGAGCAAGCCATGGAGAACAAGCCTGTGAGCAGCATCCTCTGTAGTCCCAGTTTCAGGTCCTACTGTTTGTCATGGTGCTCATGGTAGTAACATTAATGTAACTCAGGCACCGGAAGCATGGCGCATGAAATGGGCGGGAGGCCGTCGAAGGACAGAGCAGTCCAGGAGTACTTGGAGGAGACGCCTGTGAGGTGTCCCAGCTTTCCTCTTTTTCTGACAGGGACTGAGCTTGCCATGGTGCGATCTCCCCAAGGAAAACAGAGGCTTACACCCTTCAGTCTCTAAAGCAGGAACCCAAGTTTCCTCAGACAAGCCAGGGAGCAACACCCCCTCCCCGCACAGAAAATATTTTACCTGAAGTGGTAGGTGCCTTCGCGCTGCCCAAAGCCACTGCCCGGGACGACACAGATGCCAGTCTCCTCCAGGAGCTTCATGCAGTAGAACATGTCTGGGGCCATCTTATGGGACTGTGAGGGAACAGAACCTGAGATTCACGGCTGGCTTTACTCTGGACCGGCACACATTAACACCAAACACAAAGCCAGGCCTGGTTTTGGTTCACACCTATAATCCCAGCACTTGAGAAGCTTAGACAAGAACACCTTGAATTCAGGGCCAGCCTGAGCTACACAGCAGGGCCCTGCCTGGGCCATAGAGACCCCATGGAGGGGGGAATCAAAGCCAGATAGAACCAGACTGCAGAATGCCAGGCCCTCTCTTCTGTGACAGAGTCCTTTCTTCTGTTCCTGCCTGCTGCAAAATAAGGCAGGTCAGTCAGGAAGCTGGTTCTGGGGCCTGGTCATCTAAGGACACTCCTGATCTTCATGCATGGGTTCCAGTGTTTCCTGTCCCCATCCCAGTAACTGCTAAATAGTCACTGATTACAGACACCTGTGTGCCAAGTCACAGAAAATAAAAAGATAAAAAATAAATCTGAAAACAAGGCAAGGGATAAACCCTGGAGCTACCGCTGACAGAAAGAGAATTCCAGGGCTTGCCCTGACTGTGGACAACTTGCCCATGGGCTGCGATACAAGGAGAAAGACAGACAGACAACAGACAGACAGACAGACAGACAGACAGACAGACACACACACACACACACACACACACACACACCGGCTTCTCCTTCCTCTGCTTCCTGATCCCCACCCAGGTGTGAGCAAGCGGCCTGTGCTTCCGCCCCAGCCTCACGCGACCCCCTGCCTTCCCCACAGTAGGAGGCCGTGGCATAAACCAGAAGTCACAGTAAACCCATTCTCCTTACACTGCACCTTGTCAGGTATCTAGTCACAGCAATGAAGCCACAGCACAGTGGGTTATATAACAATCCTCGGGATCCCCGGGTTCTGACACTGGGCATCTGGTTCTGTGTATCTGGGACTTGCCAGTGTCTAACAAGGTAGTCAGGTATTCCGGGGTGGCATGAGGACACTGCTTTCAGACATAGTCCTTTGCCCTTGAGCCTCAAAGTGGTGTCTGCACCATCATCTGAGGACTTGGAAGTGCAGGCTCTCAACTCCTTGACTCAGAAAACCGGAAGTGGCTCTTTCCCAGAACCCAAGGTGTCTACTATGAAGCCCGAGGCTTGGGAATCACTGATGCAGGGTGCAATGGCTGGGGGAGGTGGGGACTCTCATTTCGTCTCCACATCACTGTCACACCCCACTGGGATCCTACCCTTCAGAGACAGCACGTCTTGCTTTCTTAATACTTTAAAAATGTATTTATTTTATGTGTATGAGTGCTTTATGTGAACATATGACTGTGCACTATGCACAGCATACCTGGTATCCTCAGACATCAGAAGGGGGTGTCGGCTGCCCTAGAAACCGGAGTTATGGATGGCTATGAGCCACCGGGGAAGTGCTGGAAGCCAGAACCAGATCTTCTGCAAGCAGCAAGTGTCTGAACAGCTGAGCCATGTTCCACCCACAGAACAGCAAGCACCGTGAGGTCCACACTGGACTCTCACTTGGGGTTGGCTTTATGCTGACCCTGTTCCCACCATACTCTGCTGCAGCTGGAACTCTTAAGTGTTCAGAGCCCCTAAGGCCAGCACCACTGCTCACCAAAGCAAAACGCCAACCACCACCCAGACAGCTTGAGTGGATCCAGGAAGACAGCCAACCCTCTGCTGACCTGCGCCGCCTCCGCAGCCTTGGCGGGAATGAGAATCCGGGGAAAGGCGTACATGGCTCCTTGCAAGGGGTTGCACTGAATCCCAGGGACTTGGTTAAACAGGTCTTCGGTCAGCTTTGCTTTTTGGGCCAGATTACCAAGCACGAATTCTTTCTCCTGATGACAGACAGAATGCACAGGTATCAATAATCCTAGAAAAGGCTACAGAAGGCTGTTCTTTGAACACATAGGTAATAGAACTCATAGACAGAAGATGAACTGTGTGTGCACAGCACTGTAAACAGGGCAGGGGAAGGACACGGACAGACAGACAGGTCTTTCTGCAGGGATTTTTTTTTTTATTCTTCGATCTGAATGGCCCAGACCCTGGAACACCCTAGAAACACTTCCATGAGAGACCAGCCCCATCCTGTAATCTAGGGACCATCCCTTTACAGTCTGTCAGTGTGGAGTGCATGGTCACAGACCCAGACAGAGCAGAGTCAGCAGAGCTGGGAAAGCGGCTGAAGCTGGAACAGAACCGGTCAGGCTTTCCGCAAGTGCTACTGTTCAAGACGGACGACAAGGTGGGGCCTGAGGGTGAGCAGGTCACGAAGGACGGCATGCCCACGCAGTGACAGAGTACCAGAGAGACCTCTGCTCTTCTGGGACGCTGTGCCAAGTGGAATAAGTCAGGCACAGAACAGCAAACACTGTTCAGTTCCACCTCTGCATATGCACGTTAGGGGAATTAATGCTGGCTTCCAGGAACTGGGAAAACGGGAGCGTGGGAAGCTACGTACTTACTGGGTCTGACATTTCAATTGTGAATGAGGGAAAAGTTCTTGAGGTGGATGGGAGAGACGGTTGCACAACAGTCTTTCTTTAATGAAACGGAACTGTTTGTTTGTTTGTTTGTTTGGACAGGGTCTCACTGTGTAGCTCTGGTTGTCCTGGAACTCACTATGCAGACCAGGCTGGCCTCACAGAGAACCTCCTGCTTCTGTCTCCCAAGTGATGGGATCAAAGGCATTCACTACAGCAGGATAGAATCATGTACTTAAAAAGAGCAAAAGTTTAGTTATTTGTATTTTACTATAAAAAAGAAAGAGGGGGGGGCTGGAGAGGTGGTTCAGCAGTTAAGGGCACTGACTGCTTTTCCAGAGGTCCTGAGTTCAATTCCCAGCAACCACATGGTGGCTCACAACCATCTGTAAGGAGATCTGGTGCCCTCTTTTGTTATGCAGGGATATATGCAGACAGAATACTGTATGCATAATAAATAATCTTTTTTTTTCTTAAAACTTATTTATTTATCTATCACATATACAGTGTTCTGCCTCCATGCCAGAATTGTAGGTGGTTGTGAGCCACCATGTGGTTGCTGGAAATTGAACTCAGGACCCCTGGAAGAGCAGTCAGTGCTCTTAACCTCTGAGCCATCTCTCCAGCCCCTAATCCCTAGCCTTTAGAAGGTTGAAGCAATAGGATCTTGAATTCAAAAACAGTTAGGGCTATTAAACCCTGTGTCTAAAAACAAACAAGTAAATCTTTCCCCCATAATTTCCCGAGAGAGAGAAAGAGAGTGAGAGAGACAGAGACAGAGACAGAGACAGACAGAGAGAGACAGAGAGAGATGATTGCACATCATCTGGAACTGACTTTTAGACTCTACAACCTAAAACGGTTTTGTTGTTGTTGTTAAACTGATGCTGCTATGCCTATCTTTCTTTCCCTCCTTTTCAGGTAATAAAAAATGTCTGCCAGACGTGGTGCTCTTCTCCTTCTGGGATCCTACCCACGTATGATGCCCACAGATGAAAAAGAAGAGTCCATTCATTCATAGAGTCCTCCCACTTCCAAACATGCTCTCTGTTGCATCTTTGGACTTAACTCACGAGGATGGTTCAGCCACCAAGAGACATCATGGGTGCCCCCTGAAGGAAGGACACAGACAACCACAGACACACACACCGGAGTGGTGCCTCTCACCTACCACAACCCTGGCGATGAGGCGGCTAGGTCAAGCGGACTCACTCACCCTGCTGAACTGCTCAAAAGACTCCTCGCCCGGGACAGGGGGATTCACAACAATGTCCATAGCGGCTTGTCCAGATACTGGTGGGCAGAGGCGAACTGAGAGTAGCTTTACCAGCTGGCCTTTGATCTCAGGGTGCAAATTGATCACCTCCATGTAGCCCCCTCTGTAGCCACACCTGGAGAGTTGAGCAGAAGGAACACACCCAGCAGTTATAGGAAGATCTCACAAATGCACTTTGGACACCGGATTCTGTGATACCACCATACCCCGAGTACCAAGCAGGCAGCTATGGCCAAGTTCTTGCCAGGGGCAGGCAAACAGATGACAGGACAAAGACACTTTCCTACAAGGAAAAGCAAGCTCTTGCCTTCTCTCCCCTTCCTGCTGCTGGGGAGGTGGAGACAGTCCTCATCCTAGAGACAGTCCTCATCCTAGAGACAGTCCTCATCCTAGAGACAGTCCTCATCCTAGAGACAGTCCTCATCCTAGAGACGGTCCTCATCCTAGAGACGGACCTCATCCTAGAGACAGTCCTCATCCTAGAGACAGTCCTCATCCTAGAGGCGGACCTCATCCTAGAGACGGTCCTCATCCTAGAGACGGTCCTCATCCTAGAGACGGACCTCATCCTAGAGACGGTCCTCATCCTAGAGACGGACCTCATCCTAGAGACGGTCCTCATCCTAGAGACGGTCCTCATCCTAGAGACGGTCCTCATCCTAGAGACGGTCCTCATCCTAGAGACGGACCTCATCCTAGAGACAGTCCTCATCCTAGAGACGGACCTCATCCTAGAGACGGTCCTCATCCTAGAGACAGTCCTCATCCTAGAGACAGTCCTCATCCTAGAGACAGTCCTCATCCTAGAGACAGTCCTCATCCTAGAGACGGAGACTACACATGGAGAAAACAGACCTTAAGGAGTGCAGCCTCCTTTTCCCGGTGTCTTTGAAGCATCATGTCCAAAGCAGATTTATTTTCACCTTTCTGGAGTCTCTATATTTTAGGCCATTCTGTTGCAGCTGCTTACCCTGAAACCTAATTCATATACCAGTCTACATCAAATTAAGCCAAGAACAATCTAAGGAGACAGCTCCCTTGACCAAAGCAACATGTTTATTCAAACTTCATATGTCATTTCTTCCGCCTAGAATGTTCTTCGCCCAAAAGTCTCCCTTCTTCCAACTCCGGCCGCACCTTCCGGCATTTCTACCTCCTGTGATCCCCGTTTTCCCTGCCACATGGCTCTGCTACTTGCCTGGCTCTTCACTCCTTGGCCACACAGAGGCTATGTATGGCACGGCACCTCCGTGCTACAAACTCAGTAACTACTGGCCCCAGGCTGGCCCTTTGGCCTCATAATCCCTCCGCGCAAAGGCAGCCTTGGCCATAGAGCCTGGTACCCATCCACCCAACTCCTCTCTTCACGGGCCCTCAGACGTCAATCAATGTTGAAAGCGGGAAAATTCCAGGCTTAGAGCTGCTATGGGAACCTGTTTTCATTCCCATCACTTATCCACGGTCTGGTTTCTTTTGATCATGCCGCGTTTCACTTGAGCCCCTGCGCAAGGATATCTCTTGTACTTAGATTTTCCAGGGAGATGCAGCCTGGCTCCTGGTTCTTAGAGCAGCGGCAAAGGATGGGGGCTACTTTCCCACCCTGTGGACCACAGGGTCAAGTGGAGGAGCAGGCAGAAGGGGGGAGCAGTGCTGGGGAAGCAGACCCGCCCGGGGCACCAGAGGAGCGGAGGTCAACATACTCGCCCATGTAGCCCTTGGAGGTGGAGTGGAAGGACGCAAGCTCCACGTTGCTGGAGTACTCGGGCCCCATCTGGTAAAGCACTTTCTTAAAGGAGTGGAATCTGCAGTCAGGAGAGTACACATTGTCCTGGTATACCTGCATGGGGACAGCACGGTTGCAGTGAGTCCTCCTGGAAGGCCCAACAAACACAGGTCGTGGCTGAGAGTAGCCAAGGGTCCACACCCAAGAGGGGTGCACAGGTACAGCGTGAACCTGTCATCAGGTGCAGGTCACAAAGTCCAGCCTTGAACGAAACAGCCAGCCCAGTTTCCAATGCTATTTCCACAGAGAAGCCAGAATGTACAAGAAGGAACCTTCCAGAACAAGCAAGGGGACAGCCTCAGACTGGATGCTTCAGCTTACGACAGTTTAGGAGCTTTCCTGACATCTCCTACATTCCCCTACCCACTCAGTCTCCAGGCCGCCTGTCTAACACATCGAGCCAGTGGTGACACCAGGGACGCCAATCTTCCAAAGCAAATTTTTCTCCTAAAGCACTGTTCACTCTTCTAGTGACAGAAACAGTGTCACTCCTGTCCTCCGCTTCCCCTGTTTAAGGGTGAGCTCCGTCAGGTGTCCTTTATGCCACTTACCAGGTTTGGAACCATCTGTCTTTGCCTCTGCTCTTTCTGCCAGAGCAGAACCCACACGCGTTTGTTCCTCTGTCTCTAGATCTAGCACTCACAGCCTACGAGCACCACCCTGCGCATTCCGCAATCAGGGAAATTGGCTTTCTGGACCAGTGGGAAAGTCAGACAAGCTCCACCTTCAACGGCAATGGTGGAGTTCCTGCCCTCCTCCCAGATCAGTGAGGTAGTTAGTACGCTGTCATAAGGAATCCCAGGTCTCTCTGCTGCCTTTTCTTTTTTCTTTTAGAAATGAAGGTTTTTATATCCATGATTAGTTATAGCAATTTAAATGTGGTAACAGAGCAGAGTGCTTAAGGAGAAAAGAAAGTAGTGTTCTAGAAACTGTGGCCAACCGGAAAACACTCAGCAATGAAGGGAAAGTGACAGTGTGATATGATGGACGTTCAGTTTCTTCCAAAGCAGACAAAGTGTGGGCAAGGCCTCATGACTGGGGTTCAAGAAGTCAGAGACACACCCGAGACCCTCTCAGGCTCGCAGACAGCTGGAGAGGAAATGAGACAGAAGACGAGAACTCTAAGAGGCACAGGAGTGACATCGGCCATTTCTGCCACAGGGCGGCTATACCCCACTCTTAGTAGGAGCCCATGGATTTCCCTCAGGGATGGCCCTCCGTGGCTTTCCAGGTGGAAGTTGGGGAAGGGCAGGGCAGACATCTTGTACCTTGTGTGGGCCTGGCCAATCTGCATATTACAACCCCAGGCTACAGTGGTTGATTCAATAACCGTGGCTCAAGTTGAACCAATCAGGCATAAACTTGTTGGAACTACAAGGCTGAGAAGCTGCTTTCTAGAGGCCGACACGCAGAGATGAAAGGAGAAGGGTTTAGAAGACATAGTTTGAGTGCAGGGTCCAGCCATATACCCGTGACCCCATCATCATCACCATCATCATTATCTCCAAATTTAAAGCAGATGTAAAGTGGACACCTGTGACCTCAACCCTTCGAGAGGAAGAGGGAGAGTTGCTGTGAGTTTAAAGACAGCCTGGGCTGATACAGTGAGCTCTAGGGTAGCCTGGGATCCATAGGAAGCTCCTCTCAGTCTCCCTCTCCCTTTCTCCATACATATGGAGATGTATGAATGTGTGTGTGTGTGTGTGTGTGTACACTAGTACTAGAGTCCAAGCAAACAGAGAGATCATCTGTGTCCCAAATTCATAGGTTAAGAATGAACATCCTCACCTTTGCTTGCCCAGAATCACTCTGCCTAGAAAGTTCTCTTTGACTATAGAGTAGTCAGACCTGGATCCCTCCCCTATAAGAGAAGGCTTGCCCCCTCCCTCGCTGAACTTGCCCACCCGTCTCTGGGACTGCTCTTACCTCATCAGCCAGGAGGAAAAGCTTCTCTTCCCAGGCAAAGTGAATCACATCTTCTATGCACTTTCTGCTTTGTACCTGGCCTACAAAATCCCCAAAAAAACCAAAATGTAGGTTGTAATGCTACTGAAGTTGTCCCCAAGTAATACTCCCATCCAAATCACTTGGGTGTCCTAAGTTCCTGAAGATCCCAGGAGACCACCCTCCTAGTTGCTCCTCACAGCAGTGAAACCGGGTCATGTCTAGAGGCTCCATCCACTCCTGCCTACGTCAATGACGTCAGGCGTGGGCAAGGAATAGTATTCCACACCTAACTTCTCTGTTATTCTTATGACTGGGGTGTGCACATGTGTGCATGGTGTTTGTCTCTTCTGGAGGACAGACAGGCACAAACATACCATAGTGAGCAAGAAAATAAAACTGAAGGAGTTAATTTCATCAGCTCCTCCCCAACTCCTCTGCTATGCACCAGCAGCAAGCAGTGCAGCAAACTGCCCTGGTTGATATGGTAACTGAGCTGGAGTTACCGAAGAACTGTGGGTGTCTTCCCAGAAAGGCAGGTGCACACGCCCACAAGGAAGCAGTGACAGGCTTGTCCCAGCTCATCATCTACCCTCAGAGCTGGCAAGTGTTCAAATCAATACTTGCAGAATACCGAATGAACGAGCTGGGCTGGTGTGCCCTGTCAGCTGCTACTGCAGAGAACTGGCACCAGTAGGGACTCTAAGAGAGCACACTGCCGTTCTCCCTGGCTCCCTTCAGGACCGGCCTGAAGGCCAGCAGCCTGCAGGTGCACCACAGGAGCAGAGAGCAGAGGCGAAGTGGATTTCCCAATACACTCTCTCTGCTTTGAGGGTGACACCAGGGATTTCTGGTGTGCTCAATCAGGCTTGCTGATTTCTTTACTGCAAAGCCTATCTACGTTGTGTTATACATATATGCACAAATATAAACATGTGTCTATGTTTTATTTCTGCATGTATAGGCATCCTAATGCAGAAAGCATGTAGATTGTTATCTTTTCGCTAAAAAGAAAAGAAATGTCTATAGATATCTATAAAATCAGAAATGTGACTCAGCCAGGATTTCTACCTTCCTCTACTTAAGCAATGAGCTAATTTCTTTAGTAAGGGACTGACTTTTCTTTGGCCACCGAGTGCCAGCCAGGCTTCCTAAGAAGGAAGCTGAGGGCTCTGGGACTCCTGCAGAGTGGCAGGTCCTAGTTTCTATAAGGAAGCAGCTTTGCTCTCCCAGACAAAGGCTGTGGCCTCTTTGTGGGTAGAGCCTGCCTGCAAACCCTTTGTGGGTCTTGTGATGTCCTAACTACATCCTATTGGAATAGAAGCAGAGATGTGAGCACCAGAATACACAAAAACATGTTCACTGAATGCTGAGGAGAACACAAAGGAACACTGAGGGGCCTTGAAAGGGCTTCAGCCTGGTGAAGGAAATGAGATCGAATGGACACAAAAATTCCACTGATAACACACAATGCACACTTGAAGATACAGACAAGCTTGTGTTTACCCTGGGCCTGGGGTTCAACAGTCATTTAGGGCCTAGCCATGAAAACACTGAAGAGACAAGAGTTGTGGAGAATGAGAGTCACATATGGTTTTATAGGGGCCAGGCTATGCCCAGCTTGGGGAGACACAAGACACAGCTTTGATACAAGTCCAAAAAGCTGGTCCCTAATTGCACCACACCAGAAGATGGGCCTAAAGAATCTCTTACAAACCAATAGGAACATCTGTGATTTTATCTCCTCGCTCCTGCAGTACACCACAGCTGTCTAGTGAAGAAACCCCAGCAGGAAATAAGAGAAATGGCCCTGGCCTATACATACACCACTAATCCAACCACTTGGTATGCTGAAGCAGGAGGGTTGTGAGTTCAAGGCTGGCCTATCAAGGACTTCTGAGTGAATAAATAAAAGAGCTGCTTATCAAAGTCCAAGTGATCTGACGTGTTCTGAGAAGGGTCAGTAAGCACCTGCCCTAGAACTCTCAGTGAAATCACAGGAAAAGATGTGCTCCTGGGTTTATCTGCTGCACAGGGGATGGAGGTGCTGAAGGCCCTTCCAGGACAGAGTCTAAGGAGGAATCCAACCCAGAAGCCAGCAGAGCTGAGACGTGAACTGAGGTCCTTCCCACAACAATGCTGACGCGGGTTACTGCTTCATGAGGCAGACATCAGGTTCCACCAGGAAGCCTTTTGTTTTGAGCTGGGTTTCGCCTGCAACCGGAAGCATCCTGGCTTAACCCCCCCAAACTGCATTGTCGTCTTTTAGCCAACTGGTTATGGATCGTGGTTGGGAAGTCTCCATTTCCTACCACTCCTCTTCTAACAGCTGACTGATTCCCAGACATTAAGACCCCAGAAAACGAGGGTGGATGGTGCTTACTGGCTGTGGTGGCACACACCGTTAATCCCAGAATTTGGGAGCCAGAGGCGGGCTGATTTCTGTGAGATTGAAGCCAGCCTGGCCTACAAAACAAGTTCTAGGACAGGCTACATAGTGAGACCCAGTCTCAAACAAACAAACAAACAAACAAACAAACAAACGAGAGAGGAGAGAGAGAGAGAGAGAGAGAATTATTTATAATAATACGCATTGACAGGGTCCCTTACTTACAACAGGCATGTCTTTGATCTGTTATTCCAGACAGGGAGGTAAAAAGATTTATATAAATACCCAAGCAGAAAATCCTGACTCAAAAGACAGGCCATGGCATATGCCTGTAATCCCAGCACTAAAAGGCTCAAGAAGGAGGCCAGCTATGACTCTGAAGTCTGCCTGGATGACATAGCAAGTACTCCGCCAGATAGGAATACACTGTCTCCAAAGACACAGACAAAAAAGGGCTGACTCAACAGCCGACTCAGCACACAATGCTGCAGGACTCGCTGTTCCAAGTGTGGCCCTGGGATCAGCAGAAGTGTCATCTTGGACTGGGGAAGCCTGCCAGGTCTCCAGCCCTACCCAGTCATTAAAACACTGGTGGGCGGAGTCCACATCCTGTACTTTAACAAGCTAAGAGGTTAGGAACCAGTGTCCTAAAGAAGTTCTCCTCAGCGCTATGAACACTGACCTCCGGACCAGCCTGGGAGGTTTCGAAGCTGCCTTTGTGATACTGATCTACAGCCCGACAGAGCAGAGTTCTCTGTCATTTCCCTTAACTGCGTCATGGGCACAAGAGCATCTTCATCCTCCTACAAGGCACGGGAGCACACACACTAATGTTTGCATCAGGTGTGTCTCTGCGCCATCCAAGAATTAAAGTGGTTGTTTTGAGCTGATTGAAGCATCATTTCATGTTTCAGAGAAGCAGATTCCACAATCAACTCTGATGTATTCTGGCTCCAATTCAATTTAGCTCAACTCAGGAGAAGGGAGTTCCTGTTGCCTCATCCAAATAGCCCTGGAGACACAGGAAGCAGCGGCCTGGGGGGTCAAAACAGGCAGGGCTGTATCCTTTTTTTTTCTAAGAAAAACATGCAAAATTTGGAGTGCTTTTCAACTTCTAGAAACAGGCTTTTTTTTCTTCTTTTGTTTGTTTTTAATATGGCGTTTTCTTCTCAAAGAAACAGCCAAACTCCACACACCAGCACTCTGAAAGCAGCTGAGAAAAACAAGAGGAAGGGAATGTAATGATCCAGGCTGGATGGTGGCAGTTTGTGTGAATAGCTTCAAGGAGATGAGTCTTTGCAAATGGAAGTAAAATATGAAAAAGAACAGGTCCTGTCTGCAATACAACTAAAAAACAACCGCCTGTTTCTCATCTCCCGAGGTGGCCTGAGGCGAGTTTCACAGCTGTTAGCAAATGTGGAATGAACTGGGAAACTGGAACAGAGGGGACCTTGTGACACTTAACTCTTTAGAGGTCAAGCGTCCTCACACTTGCCCCTCCTAGCCCCTGGGGAAGTGCTAAGAGCAAACTGCAGACCTGTGGGATTCCCAGGGTTGATAATGCAGAGCACTTTGGGGTCACAGTGGTCTTTGGCTTGCCGCACCGCCCGCCGGAGCTCGTCGACATCCAAGGCCCAGCAGTTGTCCTCATCTAGGTAGTAGTTCACCTGGATGGCACCGAGCTCGGAGATGACCGCGGAGTAGAGAGGATACTGTGGGATGGGGATCATCACTCCTGTCCGTGACTTGCCACCCCCGGAGACCAGTAGCTTCAGGATCGTCTGCAACAGAAAGCAACATCTACAGGGGCCCTGCCGCTTGTCATCCTTCAAGAAGCCCAGCCCCAGCTCTCCGCCAGAGGCCCTGCTGCCTGCTTCTGGTGTAACCCCATCAAGTTTGCTTCACTTCCCTGTTTCCTTAGCTGGAACCTAAGGGGTGCTGTAGGCAGTACAAAACACTAAATGGCTTAAAGTTCTTGACATATTGCGTAGTAAAGGCTGGACCCTTGACAGATGTGGAGCAACACATGCATAATCTCAGCACTTTGGTGGCTGAGGCATGACCATCACGAGTTTGAGGCCAGCCTGGGCTACACCCCAGACCAACCAACCAACCAACCAATCACTTTCTAAACAGTATCTGGGCTGGTCCTGCCTTGACCTTCCTTACTGTGATAATCCCTTTTAAACTCTACTTTGTCAGTCATCATCAGTTGTCCACACACGACTGGATGGACTTGTAAATAGGAGGCCGTTGAAATGGTATCACCAGCTACCAAGCGGTGCTTTCGCCTGTTTGCGAGCTAAGCGGAGTGCATATTTATAGGTTTCCAGGGAAAACTCGGGAATCTGGTGAGGCGCTGGTGAAAGTAGCAATAATTCCCTGGATTAGTACACCAAGGAAGCAGAGAGACCTCCCCCCTCACACATGGGCACAGGGTCCACCTCAGGTTCAATTCCTTGCTGCAAGAATCCCACCAGACTGCGTGATGACCACTTACTGCCTCATGGGCCCAGGAGGAGACCGGTGGATCTATTTGAAAGGCCTTGGGAAACAAACACTCAACACCAAAGCAAGAGCCTCAGTAAGATGGAAAGGATAATAACAACTGCTCAGTTAGGAAGAGCACGCGACTTAATTAACGGCACTTAGCAGAGCCAGAGAGACACATGCCGAAAGTGAACAGAGGGCCAGGGTATGTGCAGCTAAGGAAGTGGTAACGCACACAGAGGGCCAGGTTTGACCCTCAGCTCTGAAGATTAAACAAAACAAGTCAACAAACAAAGCCCAGGAGGCCACGAGCCCTTTCCCCAAGCCTGGGATTTCAGACTTCAGCCATGTAACTCCACATAAGCCATGCCGTTGCTTACTGATGCCCAGCCTGAGCCCTCTTCTCTCACTCTGAGTCAAGTGTCCCTTCACTCTTTCTGGCCAGGCCCATGTTGAACCGAATACTGACTGACATGTGGCCTCCCTCCCATCACTGAAGTGACAGTGGTTCTCTGTTTTTAGGATGACGTAAATGCTCAGCATGGCTTCTAAGGCCCTATGGAACTTAGCCATTACCTGCTTCCCTAGCCCTGTTTCTGGTAACTATCCCTCACTGTGTGAGCTCACCCACCTTGAATCCATTTCTGAAACTCTAAGCCTCTTCCCAGATCAAGACCTTTTCCACTTAGAAAACACCTCCTCTCCCACGTTCCCCAACCCATTCCCCAATCTTTTAGTCTTTCTCAGAGGAACCTTCTATAGCTCCTGCTGCGACCATTACAGCACTTGGTCTTTTTCTTCACAACAGAACAGAAACTGAAAAACTCGTGAGGTGACCTCTGTGTATGTGGTGTTAACGCTAGACTGTCATAACATTGGCATGTAGGCAGACGCCAAGCGGCCCACCTGGTTCCCTAAGGTCTCCTCAGCACCGAGCACAATGCCCGGCAGAGGAGGAGCACCAGCGTGTGCTGACAACAGAGGCCCAGGGGCAACCTCAAGCATCCTATAGCTTCCCACCAGTTAGATCTGCTGGTGGATCCTGTGCAGGGAAATTGAAGCTGCGATTATATCCAGGGTCATGACACTATCAGGGACTAGAAGCCACTGTTAGTTCAGGCATCTGTACTGGCCTGCCCTTGGGGTCCTGACAGGATACGTCCTCAGCTGCAGCCACTAAGAGCACCGCCTGTGCACATTCACTATGTTCCCTGCCAACCTCCAAGTTTTCTCTCCTTCTGCTTCTCTGCCTGTCTCTCTGCCCCCCCTTCTCTTCTGCTACTCCTGTCCCCAGAGGTCTCCCCCTCTTTTCCCATTCATTTTTTTCCCAATAAAAAGCCCTCCCATCCAAGTTCTGCTGCATGACATCAGAGCTCGGGCAGCCCACTCTGCTCACTGAGCCTGTCTCCTGGCCAGCTAGTTCAAACACCTAGCCCTAACTTGCAAGGCTGTTCTTCACAAGAGTGAACCCTGGGTAAGAACGGGCCATCTCTGCACATACAGAAATACCGTCGCTAGCTCCAGTGGTCAGGTAAATGTTGTCTGGGTCTGCAGGCACACCATCTCTCCTGGTGATAAAGGCTGCCACATCCTCACGGATACAGTTAACACCCTGGCTGGCACTGTAAGATCCTGTGAGACAACAAGCAAGACAGTGATTAGAGGCGAGATGTCTGGTTCAACAAAATGAGTGTGACATCCACAGATTAACTGGGGGTAAAGACAGCTACAGACACTAAAGTAGGGCCTCCCTCCCACTGCTCTGGGCTCTGGAACTATGGCAAGCTGCTTACCTACTTATTTGGGCCCACACACGCACCCAGTGCTTACTGAGTACCTATTATACATTAAGCCCTGGTTTCTAATGTGTCTAGTGGTGCCCATACCTGAGATACAGACGTGTTTTATGACAACTGTATCCATTAGATCTGGGGTTTCTATGTTTTAGGTAGGTGCTTACGCATGGTTCTACAGAACTTGAGAGAATGGGTTGACACTAGTACTCCAGAATCGCACAGGGCTCTAAGTGGCACCAACACAGATCCTGGAGACTGACCCTGGAGCACCTAACCACCACTGCTCCCTCCACACTACACCTCTGCTTAGAAGTCACTTCTCGTGTGAGTGTTCATCTGCTTCCCAGTTTACAAACTGGCCCATCACCATCTCCAAATGCCCTCTCCACCCTGGGTACCCCAGCCCCTTTCACCGGATCACACCACCCTACACCTCAAGGGTTTTGCTCACACTGCTCCCTCTATCTGGAATGCATCTGTGAGCTCTCTTTTGCTCAGCCTCCTCTTTTGTTTTTTTGTTTTTGTTTTTTTTTTTTTGCTTTGTTTTTTGAGACAGGGTCTCTACATACAATCCAGTCACTACATAAGCCACGCTGGCCTCAAACTTGCAGAGGTCTGTCTGCCTCTGCCTTCTGAGCATTGGGGTTAAAGGTGTGGATCACCACACCAGCTCCAATCTGTTTTCTTGAACTCTCCCTCTACATTAGGACCCCTTGATGTAATCCTATAGCTTTCTGCCCCTTATCCAATTAAGTCATGAAAGCTGGGAATGGCACACATATATAAAATTCATAGTAATTATTTATATACGTATGTATCTATGTGTGGTCATATGCACATGAGTGCAGATGCCTTCAGAAGTCAAAAGCATTGGACACCCCACCACCACCACTACCACCACCCAGAGCAAGAGTTAAAGGCAGTTAGTTGTGAGCAGCCTGGCCTGACATGGTTGCTGGGAACTGAACTCCAGTCCTCTGCAAAAGCAACACATGCAGCCAGGCAGAGGCGGCGCACGCCTTTAATCCCAGCACCCGGGAGGCAGAGGTAGGCGGATCTCTGTGAGTTCAAGGCTAGCCTGGTCTACAGAGCGAGTTCCAGGACAGCCTCCAAAGCCACAGAGAAACCCTGTCTCGAAAAACAAAACAACAAACAGCAGCAAATGCTCTTAACGGCTAAGCCATCTCTCCAGCCCCTGAGTAGTCAGTGTCTACTCCTCTCAAAATGGGCCGTACATTCCACGAGCACAGAGACTATTCACCTCAATCACTCAGTCAGCGTGCGGAATAGCACCTGGAGCACAATACGTGCCTTGAGTCAGGTCAGACAAAGCTCACAGCTCCCAACTCCTCCTGGATACTTAGTATCCAGGACACAACCTAAGCACTAAACTGCTAGTCAGACCGACAAGAAAGAAAGCACTAGTAAGAAACATTTTTTTTAAAGACAGAGTCTCTATGTAGCTCTGGCTAGGCTCAAATTAATAAGATCTGTTTGACTTTGCCTTAGGACTACTGGAATTAAAGGGCATGTCACCACACCCTATCAATTAAAAACTGATTTTAAGAGTCATGAGAAAACCGTGTGGACTTTAAGACTTCATGCACAGGGCCTAGAAAGACAGCTCAGCAGTGAAGAGGGCAGGCTGTCCTTGCAGAGGACCCAGATTCAATCCTCAGCACCATCTGAAGGCTCACTGACACCTGGGGCTGCAGTTCCAGAAGATTAACACCTTCTTCTGGCCCCTGGGCACGACACACACCTGGGACACATAGAGACTGCTCTTCCAGAGGACCTGGGCTCAACCAACACCCAGCACCCACATGTGGCTCACAGCCTTCTATAATTCCAAGTTCCAGGAGATCCAAGGCCCTTTCCTCGCCTCCACAGACAGAAGGCTCTCAAGTGGTGTAGAGATACACATGCAGGCAAAAATGCCTATATACATAAAATAAAAATGTTTAAAGTTTAAAAAACACCCTTCATATACACATTCAGTAATCCATACCCTGGTCAATATGGTCCTAGAGAACACCAACACATCCCACTTCCTTTTCCTTTCACTGCAGAAAACAGTTGGGGCTGCCAAGGGCTCAGCTGACAGTGGCATCTCAACACCACCATTACAAGGACCACACGAACTGTTCCTTGCAGTGGGCAGGGCCCGGCTGCATCCCTGCATCTAACAGGAGGCTCTGGCAGATACACCAGCCTTTCTTACAAATCCAGAAGGGAGAGACAAGATACTCCCTAGTTTAAAGATGAGAAGGAAGGCCCAGAATGCATTTCCCTTATCTGTATTCATGAGCTCCTGGGACAAAGCCTAGTGTAGACCCTTATGGTCTACTGGCCTCCTCCTGTGATGCCCCAAGACAACCCTTCCATAGATACAGCCTCTCACCTACCCCCTAGCTCAAGCTGACAAAGAGGGGCAAAAATCAATAGATGAGGGTTAGTGGGCGGAACAAAGATTCACTCCCCATCCCCTCACATAAGATGCACATAAAGCAAACTCCCCTCCCCTTCTCCTGCCTCTCCCGTAGAACGTCTGGAGGCCATCGGGGCTTTGAGAAATACATTTGTCCTCTGTGCTAGGCAGAGGGTACAGGAAAAGAAATGCCTCCCCCACGATTTAGAGCTCAGGCTGACAGGCAGGGAAGCAGGGGCACTGGCCTGTTCCTAAGAGTGTTGACAGGGTCACCATGGCCAGGTAAGCACAGAGCCCACAAGAGAGAGTGCAGAAAAGGGGGGGAGGGTAGCATGGAGGAGGCAGGGGGACAGGGACTGTTCCCTAACTGAGCAATTCAGAGAAACTCTGTCTCACTCTTGGCTCTAGGTCTCAGAACACTAGGGCGCATATCCTAAGAAATCTTTTGAGAACAACTGGCTTTTTGATTGAGATGCGCTGTGCAGGCGCTGGGGAAGGAAGGGGGAATAAACAAGAAGATGAGAACAGAGAGCTAGAGGCCAAGAGTTGGACTCTAAGTGGGGGAGGGAGGGGAGTATCATTTTCACATCCACAGAGGTCAAATTCAGGAGCTCCATGCATGGAGCCAGAGGGGACCTGCCTCTATCAGGAGACAGACTGCTGGGCCTGGGCTCTCCACAAAGAGGGACAGAGGGAGGGCAGAAGGGATGGAGCACAGTGGGGGGCTGGGGGGGGATGGGGTAATGGGGACAATTCAACTGAAGTAAGCCAAACAAAGCCTGGCAGAGGTGACCTGCGTGCTTCCTGTCCTCGGCAAGCAGTAGCCGTTTCTCAGACAACACCACAGATACAAGGGGCTTGAGCAAGGCTGGGAACTATCCTCTTACTCAGACTCCAGCTGGTTACTGAACCAAACCTTCGTCAGCCTAACGCGCCCAGACCCAGAAGAATGGAGGTGCCTGTACTTGAGTTTCCGACCCACCCAAAGACGGCGCGGATACCACTGACTCAGATTAGAGGGAGAAAGAGTGTGTATGCGTCTGCGCACACCCTGCACGTCAGCCACCTTCCTAGCACAGCCACCTCCCATCCCTTTGCTTGGTGACGGGCCCAGACCCATCCTGGAACCCGCGTTCACTTCACATCCTTGAGGACTTGCAAGCTGGGCCTCACCCAAGCTGTTTCCGCCACAAGCCTGCAGGATCCGCCGGGCCCGCTTCTTAGCATCTTCTGGGAAGCTGGGGCTGCTTAGCAGATTTGGGTAGGTGCAGAGTGCCATTACCTAAAAAAAGAGGGTACAGCTGAGCTTACAAGGTGGTACCGAAGCCGGGCAAGGTGCAGAGAGAAGGTGGCAACTCCACACCATGCCGCATGCAGCATGCCCCTCCACGAGAGCTGAGGCTGTGGGAGCTCAGGGGAGCAAACAGGAAGACGCTGGCTCTCTGCAGGAAGAGAGATTCCGACGGCCAAGGCTTGGCCCAAGAATGGGGTGCCACAGGAGGAGCCATGGCAGATTGTGAGATGTTACTTGGCCCTGGACTCTACTCATCTGTGAGGAACACTGGACCCAAACATCTAGGATCACAAGAGCCAGAGGGTCTCCTGGGTAAGGGGTTGGGCCTCAGTGGGGAGCAAGAATTTGCTGACAAGAAAGCTATAAGACCCCCTGCAGGCCCACAGCCTGAAGCCCTCCTCACCCTGCTCTTCCTCTAGACTAATCTTCAGATCTGAAAGCCGGAAAGGCTTTCCCTCCCTGTAACATAAAATCACCTAAACACACAAACTGAGAGGATTAACCAAGGCCATGGGTGATAAGGTGTCAGTAAAACCCAGTGCACCTGTCTAAAGCTGGCGACTGAGGAAACAAGCCAGGCTCACTATAGGGGTGTGGGGAGCGGAGAACAGGTCATAGCTCTGATAGCAGTCTGACCAGTTCTGTGGCTTTTCTTTCTCTGGGTAAAGAGCAATACCCTAGCTGACCCTTTGTCCCGGGGGCATTACGAAGACCAGAGGAGACTGATGAAGGCTACAAGCAGCTGATACCACGCAAGACAAGTTAAGACAATTGGGGTCCAGGGCTCAGTTGACTTTGGGGATGAGTTTGACAGCCTGTAACCTACTCACGGCTTGAGACCAGGTCTGTATCTGGAACCTGACACTCAAGGGCCTTGGCCCTCCTCTTGCCTCTGCTCCTCTCACAGAGGTACCGTTTGGTACCCCAACTTCTGCATCCTGAGCCCAATCCACTCATCTCCACAGCCCTCCAAAGGTCAACGGTTTCGGGGCGTTCCTCAGACCAGGACCGGCTGTACCCTTCTTCCGTCACACAGGGGCTGCAGCTGGGGCTTCCTAGCAGCAACAGCCCTCTGCCCCAAAGGAAAGGCAAGGGCACCCCACTGTGTGCCACTTCTGAAGGTGGTGACACGGGTAGAGAAAAGAGAACGGGGCTGCCATTTTGAAAGGTGGTCACCCGCCTTGCCTGTGAACCTTGACCACCCACGGTACCTAAGCAGGCCCATTCCTCCTCCAGGGAAGAGCTCTCCATAGTTAGGTCTCCTACCCCTCCCTGGTCGGGTTGCCCAGAGGCATCTTCCTTCCCCGCTTTCCCTCTTTCTGGCCTGCTGGTCCTGCACCATTTTGTCACCGATGTTCAGACATAAACACTGAAACTCGACATCATCTAGAGCCCTTATGAGGGGATGAGGGAGGCAGGGACTGCTGTAACCTGGACTTCCTGCTGGGCTGGAGGAAGACCTCATCTACCCTCCAAGGCACCCTGATGACTTCCACAAAGGCAGCCAGCACTCAAACCCAGGGGCTCCCTCCACCCTGGGTACCCCCTCCCGCCAGCTGGGCTTGTACTTCTCTGTCCCATTACACACACGTGATCACCCTAACAGAAGTTCTGTGTCAGGACCCCAGACCTAGCACGGACAAAAACCTCCCTGGAAGCGTCCTACCCCAGACCACCCCAAATGGGCTATGGCATTTTTGATGCCCTCGGGAGGGACTGCTAAAAGAGGGGACTGCAGGAGCCTGAAATGGCTGCCATTGGCGGCACATCCCTCGGGGACTGGCCCCTCCCGGGTTCCAGCTTAGGGCTCGAGGCCTGTTCCTGAGGGCGGGCTCACCTGACGGAGGAAGGTGATTGGCTGCTGGCCCATAGCATGGGCATCCCCGATGTTGGCTCGGATTACCTCTGTGAATGGTTTTTTGATACCCTGCAGAGAAAAGGTGGCAGGTGGTTATTTAACGACTCTTAGACCCTACATTCCTGAGGCCAAGCTGTAGAATAGAATTACCACAAGATATTAATAAACAATCCTATTTTGAGCCTCACCAAATGTCAAGCAGTGCTAACCAAGCCTGTGACATGCCTGACCCCATTTAATCTTCACAGCCATTTCCGTGAGGAAGAACCAGGAGCAACCCCATTTCACACACGAGGAAGCTGGGGTTCCAAAAGACTAACAGACTTGCTCGGTGTCACACAATTGATAACACAGCTTTAGGATTAGAAGTTTGGAAGCCAGGCCTCAGTGCACTCTGCTCTATTGCCCCCTACTTACCGGACGAACTGTGGGGTGGCTGGAGCGCCCTAAGGCAGCCCCAAAGGTGTCACTTCACCAGGATTTATAAAAGAAAACACTGGGACCAAAGTAGCGTGGAGAAACAGTGAGGCCAGCAGCAAATATGCCAAGTGTCGGGGAGGGAGAGCCTAGATGTCCCTATCCCCTGGGCCCAAGCAGACTTTCACTTTGAGAGCATAAGAAAGAGACGCTAAGTTCATGTTCCCCTCCCGAGGACATCCACCCCCGGCAGTTAGGTCCTGCCTTGTTCTCTTGCAACCCTGGTTTTGCAGAAAGGCTAGTTTCCTTTTCTTTCTTTTTTTAGCAGAAAGGGACAATGAAGTGAGCACTAAACAGGAATCACAGAGGGACTAACTCAGAGAGATCTGAGCCAGGCGGTGGCAGCACACGCCTTTAATCCCAGCACTCGGGAGGCAGAGGCAGGTGGATCTCTGTGAGTTCGAGGCCAGCCTGGTCTACAGAGTGAGTTCTAGGACAGCCAAGGCTACACAAAGAAACCCTATCTTATCGAGAGAGACAGACAGAAACAGAGACAGACAGACAGACACACACACACACACACAGAGACAGGCAGACACACACACACACACACACACACACAGAGACAGACAGACAGACAGACATTTGGATGTCATTAGGGAGTGAGTGAAAGACACTTCAGCTGCTACAAAGGTAAAATGGATGGAGATATGGAAACAGAGGAGTCTACACAGCTCCCTGATAAATCCAGAATTAGCTACTGGAGGAAGAGACTAGACAAGTTTAAAGACCTCCCCAGGTGACTGAGAAGACCATCGGGAACAGACGCCACCTTACACAGCTAGTCCAGGAAGGAGGCTCTGAGTGTCACTGTGGAGGAAGAAGGGATAAGGGTGGGAAGGCCTTGCCACCTGTGCTTTCCCAAATACAATAAAGATACAATTCTGCCGGGCAGTGGTGGCGCACGCCTTTAATCCCAGCACTCCGGAGGCAGAGGCAGGTGGATCTCTGTGAGTTCGAGGCCAGCCTGGTCTACAGAGTGAGTTCCAGGACAGCCTCCAAAACAATACAGAGAAACCCTGACTCGAAAAACCAAAAAAAGATACAATTCTATGGTTTTGACACTGGTGAAGTTTGTCCTCCTGAGTGTGTGTATGTACATGCACACACAGACATGTACAAGTATATGTGTGTGTCTGCACATGTGTGCATGCGTGCATACCATGCTCAGGTGTGTGTTTGAGCATGGGCAAACATGTACAGGCCAGAGGAGGATTCTGGCTGGTCTCCATAGCTCTCCATCTTGTTGCTCCAAGATGGGATGTCTCATTGCCCCTGACACTGCTGTTTTTTGGCCGGGCCGACAGCTAGCCAGCCTTGGCACTGTTTCCATCTCCGCTGTCACCAGCACTGGGGTTTCAATGCAGGTGGGACCAGGTCTGGCTTTGTGCATGGGCACTGGGGATTTGAACTCAGGCTCACGCTCACACAATGAGCACTCTTTGGTCCTTCTCCACCATGCCTCTTTTCTTTCTTTTTTAATAATCAGTAATGTACCCTTCAACAAAAGAAGACAACGACTACGATGACGATGACAGTGTCTCCAGGAACAAAAGCAGCTGCCACTTAAGTTTTCTTCTGAGCCTCGTTTACAGCCCTAAGTCACAACGCATAGTAGGCTGAGAAAAGAAGCCTAGAACGGGCCTCAGAGCTTCACAGAGCCCGAGTCTCTGAGAGGTGTGTCTGGGAGACAGGGGACCCTGCAAGTGCCCGTGTCCCATCTGTTGAGCTAGTCAGAGGTGGCCAATTTATGGAGCTTTTCCCTGGTGCTCAGACATCTCTAGAACAAGGCAGGTGGTGGCAGCCCTTGCTGCACCAGGCTGGGTCAGGGGTGAGAGCAGGAGAGATAGGAATGTAGTCTGCCAAGGCTCACCCCACAAGTGGGAGCCAAGAAGGCTGGTTATGAGGCAGCTACCTAAGTCACAGCATACAAAAGGCAGGCCCACACCCCCTGGCACTGGCCTGGGTTCCTGCTGAGGAACCCTCCGTCAGCCTTTAAATCACTGTAGCTCTAAGTCTACAGCTACTGAACGTAGGTGACTTCTGTGGTATGGAGAGCCTATGCTAACAGTAAGAAATAAATCTGTCACAGCCAAGAAGACCAAGACTCAGCACAGTTATAGGCCTGGGCCCTGGGCCAACCCAATACAGAAGAAAATAATGCCTGGAAAACAGCCCCTGGATGTCCCTTCCCTGTGCCCTCCCCCTGGCACTGGTAAGCAATTCAGGGCTTGTAGACATGAAGCCTGGGAACACCGAGCACCCCCTTTTCTTGGGTCTTTGTGCCTACAGACCATGGACACTTTGCACGATGGATGAGCTTGGGCCAGGAAAGCGGTTCCCTTGAATAGACAAGTAGACCACTCTATACAGCCAAGAGCAACCACTCAGAAGGGTGTTCTGGGCAGACAAGCTCCACATGGGCTTGGAAAGACCAAGGTACCCCAGAAAGATTCTGACCCAAAGTGCTTATCCAGGCCTGGTATGTGCACTCAGAGGGGCCACTGCCCCAGCTCAGCACCTTGGCAGGGGAACTAACAAGCATGCCGTGTTCCGGCCGTCTCTCATGGCATTCTAGAGTTCAGTTGTCTAACGCACTTGTACACATCCAGCCCACAACTGCATCCCAGGCGGCACTGAGGGTGGGTCCAGGGGAGGCAGGGCATGCTCTCTTCCTATCAGGGGACAGTAGTGGTGAAACACTTCTTCAGAGGAAAACAGAAAAAGATTTATATTCCCTCTCCACAGCCCAGCACCACTAAAGGACACCAAGTCAAACGGGGACAAGGCAAAACAAAAGAAGTAATCAAAGAACAGGGAAGGCTGAGGAGGTGGCTCAGGCGGGTACAGTGACCTGAGTTAGAGCCCCAGAATCACATTAAAAAAGCAAAAACAAAAACCCCTCAAATGCAATGGTGTATGTTTATAATCTCAGTGCTGGGAAGTGCAAACAAGTGAATTCCCAGGGTTCACCAGCCTAGATGAATCCATGAGTTCCAGGCAAATGGGAGCCCCTGTCTCCAAATCTAAGGTGTACAGCATCCAAGAATGACCAATGTTGTCCTGTGGCTTCTACATGCTCCCTACATGTATGTGTGTGCACCTGTATACACACACACACACACACACACACACACACACACACACGTGAGAAAAATGCTGTTTTATTAAAAAAAAAAAAAGCGCTAGTCAGGTATGGTGGCACATGCCTTTAATCCCAGGGCTTGGAAGGCATGTGCAGGTATTCCCAGAGGGAATAATTTTATTCTCTATTACTCAATTTTTGTTTTCTTTTGAGACAGGGTCTTACTTTGTAGCCTTGGCTGCTTGGCTGGCCTGGAACTCGCTATGTAGACCAGTCTGGCCTGGAATCCTCAGATGATATCCACCTGCCCAGGCCTCCCCAGTGCTGGGATCAAAGGTGTGTGCCATCGCACCTGGTAATTCTCCATATTTTAAAGTAAAATCTAAACTCTGAAAATGACCGGTGAGATTCAACCACTTGAGCTTAGCATATCCAGGGCTATGAATTTTATCCAGCTAACGACGACAGCCAGGTGTTAGGAGACTATGTTTACATGCAACACACCCTGATGGTAACACAAATCAATCTTTTCTAATTCTGAACCTTCTGCTCTTCGTGAGCTTTTTTGTTTTATTTACTTTGTGTTCCTGTAGGTGCATACGTGTGCAAGTAGAGGTCACAGGTCAACCTTGGGCGTGGTTCCTCAGGAGTCATCCACCTCATGTTTTAAGACGGTGTCTCTCATCGGCTTGAGTAGGCTGCTCCTGGTCAGGAAACCCCAGGGATCCTGTGTGCTTCCCCAGCACTGGGGATACAAGTGCGTGCCACCATGCCTGCCCTTTTCATATGAGTTCTGAGGATCAAACTCAAGCCCCTGTGCTTATATGGCAAGCACTTTTATATTTCCGATTTTTGAAACAGAGGTTTCCTACATCACTCAGGCTGACCCTAAGTCCTGGACTCAAGTCCGCCCCCCCCACTCCCAAGTAGCTAGATTTACAGCCACCCCACCACCACCCCACCCTGCTGGTGTTTACTTTTACAATTGGAAAAGTAAAGCCATTCCGTCACTTTGCTGTGCCAAGTCCTGATCCCGGCCCTTGAACAAACAAGAGAAAAAAGAAGCTTGAGAAACTGTCAGATCCTCTCAACCCCCTAACTGCAAGTTTATTAAAATTGCTGATCTCAATGACCGATGGGATCTCCCTTGGGGCTGCTCCCCGGGGAGAAATAGACCCCTGGTCTGGCTATTACCCCTAGCCTCTTCCCCTCTTCCTTCATGCTACCTTATCAGAGCCCTGCCAGCCACCCTGGAGACAAACACCAGGGCCACATGTCCAGCTGGTACTACCTAGCAGTAAAGAACTCACAGAAACAGTTCCGTAAGCATCATAAGGTGCCGGGAACTACCAAGGGTGTCACCTCAGGTCCCCCAGGACAAGGCTCAGAGAAAGGAGCAAGTGGGCCAGCTAAGCTCTTTGCCTCCTTTATAGACTAGGGAAACTGATGCCCAGAGAACACATGGAATTTGCCCCGAGTCTTGGTACAAACCTCTTGACCAGATAAAACCCCTTAGAATATTCGTGCAATTTGTGTTGCTATAATTCAAACCAGGCAGAGGAAAAAAAAAAAAAACAACAAATCTTCCAAAGGCAACACAAACAAAAGATAAATAAAAGCAAACAGGACTCAGAATACAGCTGTAGGTCCATGGCGGAATGCTTGCCTAGCATTAGTAAAGCCCTAAATTCAAGTCTCCAGCACCAACCTGCATCCTCCCAAAAGGGAAAGAAACAACTGACAAGTATGGCTGACATAGCTGAATGATAGGACCAGAGAGTGGCGGTGCACACCTTCTGTGAGTCCCAGGACAGCCTGATCAATGTAGAACGATTGAGGTCTGTTAAGACTACATAGTCAGAACCTGTCTTAAAACAAAAACACCAGAGAAGAGTGTAGGTGGACAGAGAACTTCTCAGCTAACTTGGGGAGCTCAAACTTGGGTGTGTGGAATGTCTGCCTAGGAAGTCAGGATGCTTCTGGCTCAATGACCAAGACATGTATCTACCTGAGCTATACCACTGCTGGAAACCCTTCCTAGATACATGGAGTTGCATAGTAAAGTCCCGAGTCATCCGCCCTGCCTCCCTCTGCCACGAAAACTTTTACTAAGGGCATCTACCCCTCCCCGTAAACCTAGAACTTCCCAACTTCCCTGCCGTTGATCACAGCGCTGACTGCTCTCGGAACGTTCGCACATACTCTCTACAAGACCGGAATAGCAGTATGCAGCCTGGACCTAAGCTCAGTGACCTTTTGGTTCTCACCATCCTCTATTTTATGGAGCTGACACGGAAGCTGCTGTTTCGCAAAAAGGTAGAGGTAATTCCTGGAACCTCTCCCATCTCTGGAACCAGAGAAATCAGCTGTGATGTGATAAAACAGGGAACACATTAACCCTAGCTTTGTTTTAGCAGGGAGACTGTTGCCTCAAGGAGGGACAGCTGCAGCCTCCCAGATACCAAAGATCGGAAAAGAAGAACACATGCTCTATGCCCACCAGTATGTCAGGCAGGCAGAGAATGGGGCCAGCCTTCTCTGGGACACCCTGGGCTGGAGAGACGGGGCAGGGGCTAACAGCGCACTCTGCTCTCTCAGAAGACTCCAGTTCAGTTCCCACATCGGGTGGCTCACAAGCACCTGTGAGCTTGGAAGCACTTCAGCTTCCAAGAAGATTCAACTCTTGTTTTGCTTTGTTTTCTAGACAGGGTTTCTCTGTGTAGCCCTGGCTGTCCTGGAACTACACCTCTGTAGACCAGGCTGGCCTCCAGCTCAGATATCTGCTGCCTCTGCCTCCTGAGTGCTGGGATTAAAGGGCCACCACCACTCAGCACAGACCCAACTCTTCCTGTACTCACATGCACACAACTACACAAATACACATATTTAAAAATAATAAAAATAGCCAGGTGTTGATGGTGCATGCCTTTAATCCCAGCACTGCAGAGGCAGGCGGATCTCTGTGAGTTCGAGGCCAGCCTGGTCTACAGAGTGAGTTCCAGGACAGCCTCCAAAACTACACAGAGAAACCCTGTCTCGAAAAACCAAATAATAATAATAATAATAATAATAATAATAATAATAATAAATCTTTTTCAACACTTATTTCTATTTCATTTGCATTGGTATTTGCCTGAATGTATGTCTGTGTGAGGGTGTCTTATCTTGTAGTTACAGACAGGTATGAGCTGCCATATGGGTGCTGGGAATTGAACCCTGGTCCTCTGGAAGAGCAGCCAGTGTTCTTAACACTGAGCCATTTCTCTCCAGCCCATAAAAATAAATCTTAAAAAACAAAAACAGACAAAAAAAAACCCCTTAATCCTGCAAAGGGTTAGCAACAGACACTGAACTCCTTTTGTCTAACTCACAATACTGAGTAGAACTGAGTGTCTAAGGAGATATCAGCAGACCCATCAAATTCCCCATGGAAAGAGAAGACCCCGAGAGCTCCCCTCACTTATTCAAAGATACTGAGTGACCACACTATCTTAGAAACACTGGGATCTAGTGACCCTGGGAACAAAATCAAGAAACTTTCCCATCCATCCACATCCTGGGTCAGAACTATCTGGTAACATTTTATTTTGTTTTCTTAGACCAAGCTGACCTTGAACTCACAGAGATTCTCTTGCCTCTGCCTCCTGAGGGATAGGACTAAAGGTGTATGCTATCATCCCCCCTTCTCCCCGCTAACATTTTCTTATTAATCTTAGGAGTGTTTTCCTTTTGACATTCCCTCTTGACTCTGCCTTCTAAATTCCACTCAGTATCCTAACACCAGGCGTTGGTGGCGCACGCCTTTAATCCCAGCACTCCGGAGGCAGAGGCAGGCAGACCTCTGTGAGTTCGAGGCCAGCCTGGTCTATAAGAGCTAGTTCCAGGACAGCCTCCAAAGCCACAGAGAAACCCTGTCTCGAAAAACCAAAAAAAAAAAAAACCAACAACAACAACAACAAAAAAAACAACAAAAAACCAGTATCCTAGCAGGGCGCTGTGGTGTGTGCCTGTAAGCTCCAACACATGGAGTTAGAGGCAGTAGGACACAGAGTCCCAGGCCAACCTGGGCTACCCTGCCAAACCTTGTCCCCAGAACAAAGAACTTGTTTTCATCCAAGGGCATGTCCTACATACATACAGCCAAACCACCCTGGTTGGGGCAGGGAGAAATCACCTCACAGTTTTTTACAACAGCTATGAATTCAAGCCAACATCCCTGGCACCACCAAGATGAAGTCCCAGGGTTGCCTCATTAAGGCCAAAAGACCCCAACTCTCTGACTGTAGCAGTCACGGTTCTCGAGGTACAAGTGAAGGAATTCAGCCAGTCTCTTCTACAGAGTCCTATTCTTGTCAATTGTGGCTGGCAAACGCCCAACAGGCCTCAGCCCCCCCGGGGGGCGGGGGCGGGAGGGGGAAGGTTCGGGAACAAACTGGCCGACAACCTCCCATTCCTCCTTCTGCTCCTAACTCACCACCCCCTCACCACCCCCACAGACCCCTTCATCTCCCTGTCTTCAATCAGAGCCCCTACTTATTCACTATCTGAAAATCCCACTTGTATATTCACTGGTTTTCCTCCTTCCCAGGGATCTTGGTTCCACGAGGACACTTAGGGAACACGCAGTGCCTGGCAGCATAGACCACTCACTCAATCATTGGGTGCAATTCAACAAGTGAACCGTCGGAAAGCCTCACTTCGTGCCAGATGCGGGGCACTGGTGAGTGACCGGCGAGAGAGGGGGCGTTCTCTCGCTCCAGCCAAAATTGGCACAATGAAAAAGCTGGAAGCTGTGGGTGGAGGTCCTGCTGGAGGACCCCAGAGGGGTTTTTGCCAAGGTCCTTCCCGCCATGAGCGCCCCCTGGCCTCACGCCCCGCAGGCCCCGCGCTCACCCGCTGCAGCTCCATCTCGATCTCACCGGCCTTGAGCACGATGGGTCCGCGCACGGCGTACTCCACCGCCTTCACCTGAGGGTTCATGGACTCCAGAGTGAGGATACGGTCTCGAGGGCTGCGCTCCGGTCGCACCTTGAGCGCCGCCGAGGCTTCGGCTGCAGCGCTGCTGTGACTACGGCCCCAGGGGCCCGAGGCGCGGGGGCAGGAGCCCCGCCGCACCAGCACCGCCGCCCGCTGCATCGCGAACCTGCCGGGGATAACCCTGGCCCAGAAAGAACAAGAGCAAGTCATCGCGCACAGCCCCAGGTGGACACCAGTCCCCCAAGACCCCAAGGCTCTCCGCCAGCAGCGCCAGCCTAGCTCCTGGGCTGGATTCCCACCCTCCGGTTACCAGGACCCCGCACCGCGCCACTGCAGCACCAAGACGCTGTGCAGCTGGGTGGCCCGGGCTGCACCTAATGTGCGAATGCAACGTGCCTGTGGCCGCGGGGCCGCCCGCACCGCTCCGGTTAATAAGCGCCTGGGCTGCTCCCAAGCTGAGTGGCCGGCCACCGCATCCTGGCGCCTGGCACCCGCACCTCCTGGCCCTCTGCGTTCGCACACCCACCGCCGCCGACTCCGCCCCGGGCCGGCGCGCTGGCTTCTGGGTTTTGTAGTTGTCTGGGCCGTAGCAACGCTGCTGTGATGTGCCAGATAAACTACAAGTCCTCTAGGGCCTGGCGCAGGCCGGACCGGGCTGGTCAGGGGGGCGGGGAGCTGTCGTCTGGGCGGGTTCTGGGAGGACAGAAAATCCCGACTGTATGGAGGCAGCTGTCCTTTCCAGAGGCTTTTGGAATTTAGTTATTTGCTGCTTGGCTGCTTCTTCCTAGACGCAGACCCCGCCTTCCTCCACCCTCACCTCGTGACACCTTACGGGGACGTGGACCGCGAGGTGATGCAGTCTTCGCCTTGAGTTTCATCATCCAGGCCATATGGTTCTACTGGCCGCTCAGGGGCAGCTGGTTAGGGAGTAGGGCCGCTGCGACTTGATATGCCACCCTGGCTCCTTCTCTCTTGTCAGCAAAGAGCTGGGGGAAGGGGTGGGGGTGGGGGGGCATTGTCGGGAAGGACCACACACCGAGTGGTAAGGTTTTTCAATACCACTTTATCTGAAGCCTCACCTATATTAATTCCATTTTGTTTTCTTTGTACCCTTCCCAGCATCTAAAATTACTCGTTTAGATATTTCTCACGTGCTCAGGACAGGAACAGTGTCTTTCTTGCCTGTTTTCACGACATCTCTAGCACACAGGCACTTAGTAAATATTCGTTGCACAATGAATGCACAGGACATGGAAGCAATTACTTTGGGCAAAAGTATCCAGCCAATAGGCACCTCCACATGCACACTTTGGACGTGCGGAGCAAGCTTGGGATGAGGCTAGTTTGAGTGTGTCATTGGTGCAAAGGTAGGTCGCGCAGGCTGAGCCACAAACATCTACAAAGAGGACATGGTTGAGTCACTTTCCTTCTCTCTGCCTCAGACTCCCTCCCCATCTGTGAAATAAATGGGTTAAATGGCTTTTCTTTTCCCTTGTTGCCTTGAAAATTGTCTGATTCTGGGAGTTTTCAGGCAGAACAGCCTACGGCTTGCACAGCCCCAACAAACAAACAGATAAAGCTTGAGAAACAGTGGTGGGAAATCAGGGGCTGAGAATAATTGCATACAACCACTTCTTTTTTTAATGTAATTTTATTTATTTGTTTATTTATTGGGTGCATTGGTGTTTTTCCTACAAGTATGTCAGTGTAAGGGTGTCAGATGCCTTGGAACTGGAGTTACAGACAGACGCGAGCTGCCATGTGGGTGCTGGGAATTGAACCAGGGTCCTCTGGAAGGAGAGTCAGTCCTCTCAACCCCTGAGCCATCTCTCCAGCCCCTACAATCACTTCCGAGTCTACTGGCTTTAAGCATGTCACCATCCCCATGTATGAAAGGGGGTGACAGGTACATACCGTGTGCAACTGAGAAAGTTCCCAGGGAACTGGGCGGAACTTGAATCCTGAAGTTGCACACCACTCTTGTTGATCGCTCCTCAAGGGAAAGCCAAATGCTCTGATCAAACAAAACGATTACTCATGAGAGAGGAACGTGCCGGGAGCTGAGTGTTCCTGCCTTAGCAAACTGGCCTGACTCCTCGCGTCCCGGCAAAGAAGCTGTTTGGGTGGCGCAGGAGGCTGCTGGCGTCTCTCCCCTCCTGCTCTGCCGTCATTGTCTTCTTTCTTTTTTCACGAGAAAAGAGGCAGTCTATTAAGGCAAAGCAGCACAGAGGTGAGCCAGCCCCTCCCTGTGGCCTGGCTCCCGGAAGGCAAGAAGAAGAGGTGCCGTTGGGGCTCTTTCTTTTTAATCGTATTTTATGTGTGCAAGTGTTTTTGTCTGTGCACCGTGTAGGTGCAGTGCCCAAGGAGGCCAAAAGAGGGCATTGGATCCCCTGAAATTGGAGTTACAGACCGCTGTGAGTGGCCCAGTCTGTGTTGGTACCCAAACCTGAGTCCTCTAGGACAGCAATCAGTGCTCCTAACCACTGATTTATCTCTCCAGGCCCATGTTCGGGTTGTTAATTGACCACCACCTCTGTCCACAGGTCCCCTTCCTGGCTTTTGTCTCAGTGCCCATGCCTTCAGTCTCCAGGTTGAAGAGTCTCCCAGCGGCGTCGGACCTCTGAGTACTTCACTGCCTTCCATGTCCTGTTATTACTCACTCTGCCCCGTTGAAGAGCCACACAAACACACTCCTCCATCCCCAAAGCACACTTAACTTTGCCCTACTCATTGTCCTTTGAGTCACTGTACTGTCATCCCAGCTATCTTTACCATAATCAGTCGGCATAAGGGGGAGGGGAGGTCTCTCAGAAGTGAGCACAAGGCCATTTGTATGCTGCTGAGAGAACTCCCAGCAGGCTGTGCACTGAGCACTGACTCCCGCATCATCATTGCAAAACGCCAGTAGTCCGTGTTCCTAACATGTCCGGTGCCACTGTGTCTCTGAGATTGCATAAGAAGGCACCCAGGCTTGGGGGTGTGACTCAGTGGTAGATGGCCTGTCTAGAGTTCAGTTCTGAGGTGGGGAGGGGAGGACATTGTCAAAAAAACAAAATGCCTCTCTTGTGAACCACCCTTAGCTGTGAACAAGGCACAAAGGGGCAAGCAGTATTATTTCTACTTTGTGGTCTCAGGTTAAGCAACTTGTTCAGCCAGCCAGGAAAATGGAAAACAGGCAGTATGCTTCAAAACCAGGCCCTGTTTCATGGCCCCCCTCATTCCAATGCACCCTTGCCCCTCCAATTTACTCTAGGATCAGCCTTGTGTAACTCTGAATTTGGAAATTTGAGCTGTTGATTGCAATGCTGCACTAAGTAAGCTTTGAGAAGTTTCTTCACGGCACTTGTCACAGGGGGTGACAATTCCATGAACTTTGCTTTCCTTTTGCTCCCTCTACCAGCTGGGGACCAGTATGAACAAGAGCCTAAATACTGAAAATAAAACCTGACTGAGATGATCATAAACGTCCTTCCCCAAAGCAAGATGAATGTCCCAAACATACAGCACATGCGGTCTACTCACACGGTTGGTGATGCGTTTGGAAGCCCTGGTGCTTTTCTTCATTCCTTAATTCAACAAAGTCTTTTTGAAGATCCATCAGGCCACCGTGCTGGGTTCCAAGACATGAATAACTCAAACAGACTGTCTCTGCAGAGAACCATTTCATAACAAAAGCAGATGCCATCCAACTCATCACACACCCAAATAGGATCTCAAACGGTAAAAACTGCTGGGGAGAAAGGGATGGCATTCCGTGAGAGCAGAGAAGCCTGAGTGAGCGTTAGCCAGATTAAGTGACCTGTGAGCTTTGAGAATGATGAAGGACAGCATTGATAGTGTGGTCTTTGGCAAGGGTGGGGGCGGGGGTTCTTCAGGTTTTTTGTTTGGTTTGGTTTTGGTTTTTTGAGACAGGGTTTCTCTGTGTACAGTCCTGGAACTCACTTTGTAGACCAGGCTTTTCTCAAACTCAAAGAGATCCATCTGCCTCTGCCTCGAAAGTGCTGGGATTAAAGGTGTGCACTGCCACCACCTGGTTTGAGGGGGGGTGCTTCTTGAGGCAGAAAGCAGACATTTATTTTACAAATTTTTCATTTTTCATTTTACCAACCCCAGTTCCACCTCCCTCCCCTTCTCCCCTATCCTCCCCCTGCCTCCCTCCCTTCCCAACCACATCCACTCCTCATAGGGGTAAGGACTTTCTTGGGGAGTCAACAAAGTCTGGCATACCAAGTTGAAGCAGGACCAACCCCTTATCAAGACTGAGCAAGGTATCCCACCACAGGGAATGGTCTCCAAAAAGTCAGTTCATGCACCTGGGATAGGTCCTTGTGCCACTGCCAAGGACACACCCCACACACATACTCCCCCCCCCAACAGATCAAGTCACACAACTGTCACCCACATTCAGAGGATCTAGTTCGGTTCCATGAAGGTTCCCCAGCTGTCAGTTCATAGTCCATGAACTCCCACTAGCTCAGGTCAGCTGTCTCTGTGGTTTTTCCCATCATGCTCTTGACACCCCCCCTTGTTCATATGAACTCCAGGAGCTCAGCCTAGTGCTTGGTTGTCCAAAGGATGCAGAATCATACCACAAGGACATTTGCTCAACTATGTTCATAGCAGCATTATTTGTAATAACCAGAACCTGGAAGCAACCTAGATGCCCCTCAACTGAAGAATGGATAGAGAAAATGTGGTACATTTACACAATGGAGTACTATTCAGTGTTAAAAAACAGTGAAACCTTGAAATTTGCAGGCAAATGGATGGAACCAGGAAAAAAAATCCTGAGTGAGGTAACCCAGACCTAGAAAGACAAACACAGTATGTATTCACTCATGAGCGAATATTAGATACAAAGTAATCCACAACCCCAGAGAAGCAAACTTTTTTTAACCTCCCCCATCCCTCAAAGAAATAAAGTAAAACAACAAAAAGTCCAGGTTTTCTGGAAAAGTGCCTCCTGTGTTTAATCCAGAGACAGAGCCTGTAGATCTCTTGAGATTGAGGCTAGCCTTGTCCACAGATTGATGTGAGCTCTACCACAGCCAGAGCTGCTTAATGAGATCCTGTCTCTAAGAAGGGAGGTCAGTAACCTAGGAAGTTTGAGGCCAGCCTGGGCTGCTTGAAATCTTGTCTCCAAAATAAAACAAGAAACGGCAACAAGGTGTCTGGGGCAGGCAGGGGTGGGGGGAGGTAAAGGTGCCTACCATGCAAACCTGACCGGAGAGAGGGGTTAAAGGTGCCTATGTGCAAGCCTGGCAGCCCGTGTAGACTGACGAGGAGAGCTGATGTCATAAACTTTCCCTCTGACCTCCACATGTGACTGAGGCACATGCGCCCCTCCATATACATCATGAGCACGTATACACACATAGGTAATTTAAAAACAAATAAATCTCAATAAATGAATAGATCTTCCTCTCCCCCAAAAAACAACATACAGAATTCAAATCTGATAAAGGCTTAATACCTAGATATTCAATAAACTGAGGGACAAAAAAAATCTGATTCGAAAAG